GATTTGAGCTCTCAGTTTCTCTGAGTGTCCTTTGCAGCCATCACTGTACTACGTGAAACCGTCATGTGTTAATGCATTGAAAGTAATGAGAGCCCTGGGAAAGAGAAAGCTGAGGGATAGAAGGCCTCGTCCCCTGGCCATGGCCCTGCTGGCATTGAGCCTTCCTTGAGAGACAGCTTGCGCCCAAAGTGAGTAGGACACCTTGCTGGTTACCCACAGTGCCAGGATGGGAGGACCTGCTAGTGGCATCAGCAGGAGGTTGCTACTGGACAGGTTCCTACCAGGTTCCTTCAAGACTAGACTCCAGCTAGACGTCACCTAGACCGCTTCTGTGCCTGCCTCTCCTGACACCATCCGCCAGGTGTGTATCCTCTGGTTCTCAGATGTCAGTCTCATCCTGGCCACAGGCTCTGGAAATGTGCTGTACCTGGTCTCTCTGTCAGGTCTTCACTTGCTGGGGCCTCCCCAAGAGTCCTTGGTGTGGTCCTCTGCCAGGCAAGCCACATTGGAAACCTCTAACACCTCCTGCTGGATGCTCTATCACGTGGAAACTGACCCACCAACCTGCGTCTGCCTCTCTGACATTGCTGGCTGCTTCTTAAGGCCCAGTCTTGTGGTCTCCAGCAGCAGGGGCTAAAGATTTTGTTGATGGTAGTGTATTTGGGTTCTCCGGAAAACCAGAACCAATGGGGGGGTGTGTATACACATGCACACATATGCACGTACACATACACATATACAAGAGGTTTACTTATGGACTTGACTCACTTGCCTCTGGAATCTAACTCGGGGGGGGCAGGGGGGCGTCAGGCTGGAGACGTAGGGGGATGCTGATGTTGCAGTCAGCTCTGAAGGCCTCGCTGCAGAATTCTCCTTTGCTCCAGGAAAGTTAGTCTCTTGTTCTATCCAGGCCTTCAACTGAGTGCAGGGTGATCTGTTTTACTCAAAGTCCATCTATTTAAATGGTATTCTCATCCAGAAACACCTGCACAGAAACATCCAGAATCAATTTTTACCACATTTCTCAGTACCAGGGCCCAGCTGAGTTGACACTTACAATTCACCACTAGAGCAGCCCTCAACTCCAGAGGCCAGTGCTGGTGGTAAGCACGAAACCGCAGATGGCATGACTGGTCATGGTGACTTACAGGAGGGCCTCGCTTGGTGGTCCCCTCTCTTGGTGGTCTGCTGCACTCCCGGGGCCACCCCCTATGTCCCAGACTGAAAGGTCTCAGAACATTTTAGCATCCACAAACAGGTCTTTGCCAAATCACTCCACTCTGCTGCTTCTCCACTCTACAATGGGAGCAGGAAATTGCCTGTAGGCTCTGCACGTTATCTGGGTTTGGTCAATTCCAAGGCACGGGACTAAAATTAGCCCTTCCTCCAGAGGCTGCCTGGATGAATTCCTCTGGCGCTGTCCCTGAAGGCACGTCTGTCAGCAGCTTATGAGTCGGTCTAGCCCTGCCTTCCACTTGCTGGCAGGCACGGAGAAGTGAGCCACTGCAGCCCCTCGCCCGTGTCCTTTGGGTATTTTCTGTGACTTCTGAAAGCCACTCGCATTAGTTCCAGCTTCAATCTTCTTCCCAGAGGGATTGGAAGTTGTAGCGCTGCTGTGTCTGAGAAATCCAAAAGTGTGTTCACTGCTCTGGAGATCAGAGTTCATTGAGCAGGGACAGGATACTCCACCAGATCCTTGCTAATCACAGGGAGCTTCTGACCTCAGACATGCTGGCCACGACTTGTCAATAACAAAGAGAATGTAAATCCAGATTGGAATGCACTCACCCTTGCCTGCTTTCCCGCTGTTTCGGTCTGTCGTTGTTCCTGTTACTTCATTTTACACCCTGAAAACCACATGCCCTACCTAGACAGCTTTTATTCACTTTTGGGACACTTTCTGGTGGCCTGTTAAGCTCCTGCCCAGTGCCGGGTGCTGGGAACATTCAGGTGAATTAGACACACAGGCTGCGCTGGTGGGGTCTAGTGAGCTCATGGGAGCAGAGAGCCCCATGGCTCTGCCCCATCCACAGGAGCCCGTTTTGCCATCGCTGCTGTCGACATGGCACTTTCAATAACCCACAGTGGCTGCTCCTCCTCAGAGAACTGTTCTAGGGCAACTGGAGTCACTTTGCAAGGAGGTGTCTCAGAGTTTACGTTTCTACCCTCCTTCTCCAGGCCTGGCTGCCATGAGGGCAGGCCATTCAGGTATGGGGTCTGGAAGCACAGCCACGTGCTTTGGGTTGGCACAATGCTGAGACGTAGCTTACCCTCTTGAGTTCCCCTAGGGGTCAGCCCGAAGCCACCCTCTGCTTCAGTTTTGCCTGAGATCACTCCCTGGCTTGGCTTTCTCCTCTACTGGTCCTACGCACTTCCCCGCCCCCTGGGTTTCTTACCATCTTCCCTGGGAGAACATCCTTCATAAATCAGATGTGCATAACATGACTCCTCCTCTCAAGGTTGGCTTTGGGGAAGCTTGTCCTGAGACAGTCATAGAAACTTAGAAAAGTACAAAACCATATGACTAAGTTTAAGGGGTTCTGGGAGCACAGTTCAAGGACGTGTGTGTGTGTGTGTGACATGCAGAGGAAGGTGTGCCAGGGAAGGTTTGGTTCTACTGTGATGCTCGTGGAGTGTTGTTGATGGTGGCAGTGCAGGGGCAGGCTCAGCCTGCAGAGCGGTGGCAGTGTCCGCGCATACACTGATGGCTTCAGGTGCTTGGAGGTGGTGGCAGAGGGTTCATCCCTGGATAGTTGTGCGCTATAGTCTTGCTTGTGGTTCTGATTGTGTTTTCTTCATCCTGTCCACCTATCTAGCTGCTTTCTGTAGCCTTTCCAGTAATTCTGTGAGCTCTCTGCCATCCTCTTTCTGTTGCAACAAAGAGCCCTCCCTAGTCCTTGAGTCACAAGTTTGGGGAGGATGGAGGGAGGGGAAAGTGAGTGGCATGTGAACAGGCACAGGTGTGAAAAGGGCACCCTCCTGGGGAGCTGCAGGAGTTTGGCATTTATGGGGATGGAGTTGGGGTGAGCTGGAGGGTCTGGGTTCATGTACTATCGTCAGTATCTGTGGATACTGGATATGGATACTGATTTACACAGAGGTGTAAATCACAGCATCTGAAACTTACGGATGTCATAGTTTCATTTATTAGTCCCTGGCTGCCAAGGTTAGATCCACTTATATCTGTAAACCCAGAGGCTTATGGTCAGTTTAGAGCTAAATCCTTAGCAGTGGTTTCAGTCAGCCCTGATGAATGCACATCTTCATCAGGGATGGAGAGGGCTGGCAGCCAATGCAGAAGGGTCATGTGCACTCTGCTATGGAGATGGGACCTAGGTTGTTTCAGTCACTCTTTGCTTCAAAATGTCATTCAGATGTGGACATAGGCCTTCAACACTTAGGGACCTAAACTCTTTGACTGTCTAATACATTGCACTCTGCTTTATTTACAAATGGACATTTCTGTAACATCTTCTGCCTCTAACTTCCTGGATCCATGGATACAGAGCTAATAGCGGAGAAAGGGTCTCCATTTATCTGAAATTCCAAGCTCTCTCACACAAGAGGCGCCAAGGCAAGGGGGATGATCATTTTCAAAGCACTTCACATTCTATGTCTAATCTGGACATAGATGATGATATCATCATCATCATCATCATCTCGTTTTACAGATGAGAAAACTGAGGCTCAAATAGCTTACTAAGCTTGTTGATATTGCTCAGTTACAGAATATTGATGCTAGTACATGAACCCATGCCCTCCAGCTCCACAGCATAGAGTCTTTCCCTATATTCTCTTAGACTATTTATCTGCCGGTCACGTTTCATTGTCTGCCCAGCACACATGTGAAATACAGCTCACCTCCAGTGTGGTGACAAGACATCAATCTTATTTCTTCTGTGTCTTTCCAGGTTGGATGTGAGAGAAGATGTGCATTCATCAGGGCTGACTGAGACCACTGCTAAGGGTTCAGCTCTAAACTGACCGTAAGCCTCTGGGTTTGCAGATATAGGTGGGTCTAACCTTGGCATCCAGGGATTAATAAATGAAACTATGACACCCATAAGTTTGAGATGCTGTGATTTACATGCTTGTGTAAATCAGTATCCATATCCGGTATCCATGGGCGGTGAGTTGGTGTAGCTGTGAACCTATTGGGAAAAATCCCCTTGATGGTGACAGTCACCGCTTACTGAATGTCTACTACATCCACACAAGGCAGCTTTATATGCTATCTATACAGTCCACACAAAAGTACAGTGAGGGAGGTGGGGTCATGCCCATTTTACATATGTGAAATTCAAGGTTCGGTATATTTAAGTCCCTTGCCTGGGACCGCACAGCTCGTAAGTGGAAAAATTGAGGCTCACACAATTTCATCTGACTACAAAGTCCATGCCCTTCCATCTAGAATCTTGCTACTATAAATCTCATGCTTGGACCAGCAGCATCACCTGGGGGCTTATGAGAAATGCAGGATCTTAGGCTTTACCCTAGGCCTAGTTCACCAGAATCTGCATTTTTATCAGATTCCCAGGTGATGTCTATGCACGTTAAATTTCAAGGCACAGTTCTGGGTTGCACGACCTCAGCTTTGTCCTTTCAGGATCTTGTGGATGGAATTTTGATTGCCATAGTCTCGACTGAGCATGAACACAACGACTCTCATAGAACATTTCCTTTGTCCTCTAATGTGGAGAGTTGTCCCTTATCTTACCTGAGAATCCTTCAACCGCTGGGGACTGGCCCAAAATCAATCTATCATCTATCTATCTATCTATCTATCTATCTATCTATCTATCTATCTATCTATCTATCTATCTATCTATCATCAGTCATCTATCATCTATCTATATCTATATCTATCTATCATCTATCATCTCATCTATCATCTATCCATATATTTTTGAAAAAGGAGGAACGGCCAGGTCTGTGATACTGTGATATTCCATTTGGCCAGCAGGGGCACCCGCGGCATGTGCCGCGGCGGCCTTGAAAGCTGGGAAGTTCAGACCCTGCCTGTAAGGAGGGTGCGGTGGACGGATTAAGAACAACGCTGTGAAGGAAAAGCCTGGCTCTCGGTTTGCGGCGTCTGGAGCACCCGGCTTTGCAGAGCTGTGGCGCAGAGGTGGAGAGGAGCTTTTGTCAATGTGTGTGTTTGAGAGTAAGTGATGGATCTAGTGCCTAGGAAAAGCCCCTGTTCCTCTCGGCGGGCTGCAAACCAGCCCTGGGAGGCAGGCGCTTGTGGTCGGGAGGCAGGGGCCTGGCTTCTAACTTTAGTTTTGTCACTGACTCACAGCGGGACTTCTGGACTTGCTTCTTTTTCTTGGCCCTGGTTCCCTGGGCTGTCTGAGAAATAAAGTTCATAAGATCACCTCGAAGGTCCTTTTCAAGCAGTGTCTATGAAGTCGTAATTAAAATGCCCTAGGAGAGCACTATCTACTTAAGAAAATTTTTTCTTGTTAAATCAAACTGTGCAAAGCTAATTATCATTCCTTAATTCGTCTATTTTATAACTTCAATTTTTTTCTACTTAAGTTTTCTTTTTCTGTGTGTAAAAGTGCATATTTATTTAAAATATCTTCATATTTTAAATAAATGTTTGTGCCAAATACCACAAACATCCCAAACCCTGAACTATGATATACTATTTTTCACGAAATAACTTTCCAACACATCTCTATAAGGATTTACCTCTTCCTACAAGTTTTTTTTTTTTTTTTTTTTTTTTATATGCTGTGGTCACCTCTCCAAATAATTGCAATTTT